TTAACCCCCCCCATAACTTTCAAATATGCTGGGCTACTACTCACCAATCATCCACCGAGCCCTACCAAACTAATACTAATACTAGGTCACAAACCGCCGCTACCCAGTTAGTAGACCAAACCTGACTTGAAAAAGCAGGCCCCAAAGGAACAGCAGCAATTCAAATTCCTATAATCAAGACAATCAACGACCCCCAGCAAGGACTTATCAAAACCTACTTAGGCATCCTTCTTCTAACCACCTCCATTGCTATCTTAATCACCTTATTAATCTAAATCGCCCGCAAAGCCCCTCGTTCCCGCCCACGAGACAACTCAAGAACCACAAAAAGCGTAAGTAACAAGGCCCACCCACAAATTATAAGCATCTCTCCTCCCAAATAATAAATATACGATACTCCCCCAAAATCCCCACGCAAGGCCGAAAACTCATGAAACTCATCTATCAAAAAACAACGCTGCTCCGTATCCTTAATACACACAAAAGCCCCCGTGACGCAGAGTAAAGTATACCCCACCACATATCCTAAAACCGACCAGTCACCTCAAGACTCAGGGTAAGGCTCTGCGGCTAAAGCAGCAGAATAAGCAAATACTACTAACATGCCCCCTAAATAAATCAGCAGCAAAACTAAAGAAACAAAAGACCCCCCATAGCCCGCTAATACCCCACAACCACCCCCAGCCCCTAACACTAAGCCAAACGCAGCAAAATAAGGAGCGGGGTTAGAAGCAACCCCTAAAACCCCTAAAACTAATAAAACCATAAACAAAAAGGCAAAATATTCCATAATTCCTACCCGGACTTTAACCAGGACCAATGATACGAAAAACCATCGTTGTAATTCAACTATAGAAACTATTTAATGGCAAACCTACGAAAAACCCACCCAATCCTAAAAATTGCTAACGACGCCCTAGTCGACCTCCCCACCCCCTCTAACATTTCAGCCATATGAAATTTTGGCTCTTTACTAGGACTCTGCCTAATTACCCAAATCCTCACAGGGCTATTCCTTGCTATACACTACACTTCTGACATCTCTACAGCCTTTTCTTCTGTGGCCCATATCTGCCGTGATGTAAACTATGGCTGACTAATCCGGAATCTACACGCTAACGGCGCATCATTCTTCTTCATCTGCCTCTACATGCATATTGCCCGTGGCCTATATTACGGGTCATACCTTTACAAAGAGACATGAAACATCGGAGTAGTACTTTTCTTGTTAGTAATAATAACCGCATTCGTTGGGTACGTTCTCCCCTGAGGTCAAATATCCTTCTGAGGGGCCACAGTAATTACGAACCTATTATCTGCCGTCCCGTATGTAGGAAACACCCTAGTTCAATGAATCTGAGGCGGATTCTCGGTAGACAATGCAACTCTGACCCGGTTCTTCGCATTCCACTTTCTCCTTCCATTTGTGGTCTTAGCCGCAACAATACTCCACCTGCTCTTCTTACACGAAACAGGATCCAATAACCCCGCCGGCCTAAACTCAGACGCAGATAAAATCCCATTCCATCCCTATTTTTCCTACAAAGATCTTCTGGGCTTTATTATTATACTTACAGCTCTCACATCTCTAGCCCTCTTTTACCCAAACGTCCTGGGAGACCCAGACAACTTCACTCCAGCCAACCCAATAGTCACCCCACCCCACATTAAGCCCGAATGGTACTTCCTCTTCGCATACGCTATTCTTCGATCTATCCCCAATAAGCTTGGGGGTGTACTTGCATTACTATTTTCTATCCTTATCTTAATATTAGTCCCCCTACTCCACACCTCAAAACAACGAGCACTAACATTCCGGCCCGCCTCCCAAGTCTTGTTCTGACTATTAGTAGCGGATATGCTTATCTTAACCTGAATTGGAGGCATGCCAGTAGAACACCCGTTTATTATTATTGGACAAACTGCATCCGTACTATATTTTACTCTATTTCTAGTATTAAACCCACTAGTTGCTTGAATGGAGAATAAAATACTTGACTGATAATCATAATGCCCTAGTAGCTTAATTTTAAAGCCCCGGCCTTGTAAACCGGAGAATGAAGATTAAAATTCTTTCTAGCGCAATCAGAGAGGAGAGATTTTAACTCTCATCCTTAGCTCCCAAAGCTAAGATCATAAATTAAACTACCCTCTGAAATTACTGTATTATGAAATTCAAGCATTAATCAATATGCAACATTTGAACTCTCAAATTTAATTGACTGTGTTGTTGAATTTTTTATGTCTTCTCGTGAGAGTACATATTATTCTTTATCGTACATAACGAAGTGGGAACAAACACATTCTATGTCAAACTCAACATTCTTTGGACATTTCACACAGGAAAGAACGTGTAAAATTTGACATGTAGGATAACTGTTATCGTCACAACATTAATCTCAACTTAAGGTTAGAAGAAAATTGCAATCTTAACATAAAAATGGTTCCGTAGAATCTTCCTTGCACGGATACAACAAATGTTGTAAATCTCAGATAATATCACAGTAAGAACCGACCAACAAGCACAATTCAGGGGTACCCGTTTAATGATAGAATCAGGGACATATAATCGTGGGGGTAGCACTTAGTGAATTATTACTGGCATCTGGTTCCTATTTCAAGGTCATAAAATTTGTCGCATACTCACATTGTGAATTGTCGCCGACATAGGTTATTGGTGTGGTCCATAATGTTCGTTACCCACCTAGCCGGGCCTTCTCTTATAGGCATGGGGTATTTTTATATTTTGGGGCTTTTTCGACAGCATTTCAGAGTGTATGAAAACTGAAAGTAAAGGGTCGTACAAGGCGGTGCACACTCCACGACAGCTGATGTCTTCCCGTTGAAAAGACATTACTGAAGAGTTGCAATAGTGTTTTCACGTGCATAAAGATCTTTTCGCAAGAACAGAGAACACTAAGTATCCCCCCGGGAAATTGTCGTCAAACCCCCCTACCCCCCTAAATACTGACAACCCCATTATATCCTGTCAAACCCCAAAACCAGGAAAAGCAGTACTAAAAATTGCCCCCACTAAAATTTTATTTTTTTATATATATATATTATTTAAAAAATAAAAAAATAATATATAAATATATATATAAATATATATAAATATATATAAATATAAATTAATGTAAATAAATGTAAATAAATATATACTTATATAATGTTAATGTAGCTTAACCTAAAGCATGGCACTGAAGATGCCAAGATGAGCCGTGAGAAGCTCCAATAACACAAAAGCCTGGTCCTGACTTTAACGTCAGTTATAGCCCAACTTACACATGCAAGTACCCGCACCCCTGTGAGAATGCCCCTTACCTCCGGTAGGAAAAAAGGAGCAGGCATCAGGCACACATTCGTAGCCCAAAACGCCTTGCTTAGCCACACCCCCAAGGGAACTCAGCAGTGACAAACATTAAGCCATGAGCGAAAGCTTGACTTAGTTAGGGTTAAAAGGGCCGGTAAAACTCGTGCCAGCAACCGCGGTTATACGAGAGGCCCAAATTGACGCATCACGGCGTAAAGTGTGATTAGAGACAAACTCAAAATAGAACCAAACACCCCTTATGCTGTCATACGCCATGGGGGGCACGAAGCCCAACAACGAAAGTGGTTTTATGAATCTTGAACTCACGACAGCTAAGACACAAACTGGGATTAGATACCCCATTATGCTCAGCCTTAAACCAAGGTGACTAAGCCTACAAACTTCACCCGCCAGGGAACTACGAGCCCCAGCTTAAAACCCAAAGGACTTGGCGGTGCCTCAAACCCACCTAGAGGAGCCTGTCCTATAACCGATAATCCCCGTTAAACCTCACCCCTCCTTGCCAATTCCGCCTATATACCGCCGTCGCCAGTTTACCTTTTGAAGGAAAAACAGTAAGCAAAACGGGCAACACCCAACACGTCAGGTCGAGGTGTAGCGAATGGAGGGGGAAGAGATGGGCTACATTTTCTGTCAACAGAATACTACGAAGAGTACAATGAAAAGCGTACGGTCGAAGGTGGATTTAGCAGTAAAAAGAAAAAAGAGAGTTCTTTTGAAACTGGCCCTGAGGCGCGTACACACCGCCCGTCACTCTCCTCGAAAAACGAAATGACGATAGATAAAAACCCAAGAAATAATAGAGAGGAGGCAAGTCGTAACATGGTAAGTGTACCGGAAGGTGCGCTTGGAACAATTAGGATGTAGCTAAATAGGAAAGCATCTCCCTTACACTGAGAAGACACTCGTGCAAATCGAATCATCCTAAGCCAAATAGCTAGCCTGAATACAAATATAATCCAAAGATATAAATAAACAAACCACAACCACATATTAAAACATTTTACCACCCAAGTATAGGTGATAGAAAAGGTTCCCAGAGCAATAGAAAAAGTACCGTAAGGGAAAGCTGAAAAAGAAATGAAACAACCCAACAAAGCAAAGAAAAGCAGAGACTAATACTCGTACCTTTTGCATCATGGTTTAGCAAGAAAGCCCAAGCAAAGAGAACTTAAGTTTGACCCCCCGAAACCAGGAGAGCTACTTCGGAGCAGCCCAAAGGGGCAAATCCGTCTCTGTGGCAAAAGAGTGGAGAGACTCCCGAGTAGAGGTGACAAGCCTACCGAGCCTGGTGATAGCTGGTTGCCCAGAAAATGAATATAAGTTCAGCGCTATATAAATCCTGGCTCTTATAAACAAAAAGAGTAAGCAAGACATAGCAGTTAGTCAAAAGGGGTACAGCCCTTTTGAAAAAGGACACAACCTTACCAAGGAGGAAAAGGATCAAAAACCCAAGGCACCTTCCCCAGTGGGCCTAAGAGCAGCCACCTGTAAAGATAGCGTTAAAGCCCAAGCAGAGCCCAGCCAACAATACAACTAAGCCAAACCCTACCCCCTCCAAATACTGAGCCCCTCTACGATAACTGTAGAGAAGATAATGCTAAAATTAGTAATAAGAGGGATACCCCCCTCTCCTCGCACAATTGTGAGTCAGACAGGACCAACCACTGACAACTAACGGACCCAAAAGAGGGAATAACAAAAAAACAAAAAAAGACAAGAGAATCATGCCTCAGCCACCGTCAACCCGACACAGGAGTGCACTCAGGAAAGACTAAAAGGGTGAGAAGGAACTCGGCAAAACCAAACCCCGCCTGTTTACCAAAAACATCGCCTCTTGCTAATGATAAAGTATCAGAGGTCCCGCCTGCCCTGTGACAGCAATGTTTAACGGCCGCGGTATTTTAACCGCGCGAAGGTAGCGTAATCACTTGTCTTTTAAATGGAGACCTGTATGAATGGCATAACGAGGGTTTAACTGTCTCCTCCCCCCAGTCAATGAAATCGATCTACCCGTGCAGAAGCGGGCATAACAGCATAAGACGAGAAGACCCTATGGAGCTTCAGGCAAACGGTCAAGCACACCAAACCCTATTTTATTCCCAAAATACGGGGAAACAAACGCTAATGATCGCCCGCCTTCGGTTGGGGCGACCATGGAGGAAAAAGAAGCCTCCAAGTGGAATGGGATAACCCTTAAACTAAGAAAAACAATTCTAAGCAGCAGAAGTTCTGACCAAATATGACCCAGGACAAACCTGATCAACGAACCAAGTTACCCTAGGGATAACAGCGCAATCCTCTCCCAGAGTCCATATCGACGAGAGGGTTTACGACCTCGATGTTGGATCAGGACATCCTAATGGTGCAGCCGCTATTAAGGGTTCGTTTGTTCAACGATTAACAGTCCTACGTGATCTGAGTTCAGACCGGAGTAATCCAGGTCGGTTTCTATCTATGAACTAGCCTACCCCTAGTACGAAAGGACCGGAGTAGGGAGGCCTACGAAAACACAAGCCTCACCCCAACCCACTGAAACCATATAAAATGGATAATGGGGAAGATACAACCGCCAAAGATAATGGCATGCTAAGGTGGCAGAGCCTGGTAATTGCAAAAGGCCTAAGCCCTTTCTATCGGAGGTTCAAATCCTCTCCTTCAGCTATGAATTCAATCATGACCCATATTATTAACCCCTTGGCATACATTGTACCCGTCTTACTAGCTGTCGCTTTTTTAACACTGCTGGAACGAAAAGTACTAGGCTACATACAACTACGAAAGGGGCCAAACGTAGTTGGCCCTTATGGCCTCCTGCAGCCAATTGCCGATGGAGTCAAACTATTCATCAAAGAGCCTATCCGCCCATCAACCGCATCCCCCTTCCTATTTTTAGCGACCCCTACCCTCGCTCTCACTCTCGCCCTTACAATATGAGCCCCCATCCCCATACCCTACCCCGTGATTAACTTAAATCTAGGCATCCTATTTGTACTTGCTCTCTCAAGTCTTGCCGTATACTCAATTCTGGGGTCAGGCTGAGCCTCAAACTCAAAATACGCGCTAATCGGGGCTCTTCGCGCTGTCGCACAAACCATTTCCTACGAAGTTAGCCTAGGCCTAATTCTATTATCAATTATTATTATAGTAGGAGGATTCAACCTAACCATATTCAATACCGCTCAAGAAGCAATCTGACTTCTAGCTCCAGGGTGGCCTCTTGCCGCCATATGATATGTTTCAACGTTAGCAGAGACTAACCGAGCCCCCTTCGACTTGACAGAAGGTGAATCAGAACTAGTCTCTGGGTTTAATGTTGAGTATGCAGGTGGACCTTTTGCGCTCTTCTTTCTAGCCGAATATTCGAACATTCTACTAATGAACACTTTATCCACCATCCTATTCCTAGGCGCCATGCATAACCCAGTTATCCCAGAACTGACAACAATTAACTTAATGTTTAAGGCTGCTTTACTCTCAGTTATGTTCCTCTGAGTTCGGGCCTCATACCCTCGATTCCGATACGACCAGCTTATGCACCTGGTATGAAAAAACTTTCTGCCCCTAGCCTTAGCCCTCTTAATGTGAAATATAGCCCTGCCAATTGCATTAGCAGGGCTTCCTCCTCAATTTTAAAAGGAAACGTGCCTGAAGCCAAAGGGCCACTTTGATAGAGTGGATCATGGAGATTAAAACCTCCCGCTTCCTTAGGAAAAAGGGACTTGAACCCATACTTAGGAGATCAAAACTCCTAGTGCTTCCATTACACTACCTCCTAGTAAAGTCAGCTAAGTAAGCTCTCGGGCCCATACCCCGAACATGTTGGTTAAAATCCTTCCTTTACTAATGAACCCATGAGTATTATTTGTCCTTATCGCAAGCCTGGGACTAGGAACCACCATCACATTCGCCAGCTCTCACTGACTGCTAGCATGGATAGGCCTAGAAATCAACACACTCGCCATTATTCCCCTCATAACCCAACAACACCACCCCCGAGCTGTTGAAGCCACAACAAAATACTTTCTAACACAAGCAGCTGCAGCAGCATTAATACTATTTGCTACCACATCCAATGCTTGAATCACCGGCCAATGACAAATTCAAGAGCTCTCCCACCCACTGGCAGCTACAGTGACTATGGTCGCTTTAGGAATAAAAATCGGGCTTGCCCCCACCCACCTGTGACTACCAGAGGTACTTCAAGGACTAGACCTTACAACCGGCCTCATCCTCTCTACGTGACAGAAGCTCGCCCCAATAACACTTATTTATCAACTGGCACCAAATATCGATACTACAATTCTGCTGCTAATCGGACTAACATCCGCTCTTATCGGGGGGTGGGGAGGCCTAAACCAAACACAGCTGCGGAAGATCTTAGCATACTCCTCAATTGCTCACATAGGGTGAATAATGATTGTACTAAAATATTCCCCAGGACTAATAGTACTCAACCTAATAGTTTACATCACCATAACCTCCACTGCATTCATAACCCTGAAAACCGTATCAGCCACAACCATCAATACCCTTGCAACAATCTGGACAAAAGCCCCAACTATAATTACCATCGCCATACTCACCATGCTATCCCTCGGAGGCCTTCCCCCGCTCACCGGCTTCATGCCGAAATGGATAATCTTGCAGGAACTAACCAAACAGGACCTCCCCGCGACTGCTACTGCTATAGCCCTTGCCGCCCTACTAAGCCTCTTCTTCTACCTTCGACTCTGCTATAGCATAACACTAACATCTGGTCCCAACACGAACAATAACAAAGCCCCTTGGCGGCTAAAACCAACAACCACAAACTTCCTTCCCCTAGCAGCAACCATTTCCCTTGCCATACTACCCATCACCCCTACCGCCATGGCGCTACTAGCATAGAGACTTAGGATAGATAGACCAAGGGCCTTCAAAGCCCTAAGCGGGAGTGAAATCCTCCCAGCCTCTGCTAAGACCTGCGGGACTTTATCCCACATTAATTGAATGCAAATCAAACGCTTTAATTAAGCTAAGGCCTTAATAGACGGAAGGGCCTCGATCCCTCAAAATCCTAGTTAACAGCTAGGCGCCCAAACCAGCGGGCATCCATCTACTTCCCCGTATCACGGGGAGGGGAAGTTTCGGCAGAGGTTACCCTGCGCCACCAGGTTTGCAATCTGGCATGCCACTACACCACAAAACTTGATAAGAAAAGGACTTGAACCTCTGTTCATGGGACTACAGCCCACCGCCTAAACACTCGGCCATCTTACCTGTGGCAATCACCCGTTGATTTTTCTCTACCAACCATAAAGATATTGGCACCCTGTATTTAGTATTCGGTGCCTGAGCCGGTATGGTCGGCACTGCATTGAGCCTTCTTATCCGGGCCGAGCTGAGCCAACCCGGGGCTCTTTTAGGTGACGACCAAATTTACAACGTTATTGTAACAGCTCATGCCTTTGTAATAATTTTCTTTATAGTAATGCCTGTTATAATTGGAGGATTCGGAAACTGACTCATTCCCCTAATGATCGGAGCCCCAGATATAGCATTCCCCCGAATAAATAATATAAGCTTCTGACTACTTCCCCCATCTTTCCTGCTACTGCTAGCTTCCTCTGGGGTTGAAGCGGGGGCAGGAACCGGATGAACTGTTTACCCCCCACTCGCAGGAAATCTAGCACATGCCGGAGCATCTGTTGACCTAACTATCTTTTCGCTTCACCTGGCGGGGGTGTCGTCAATCTTAGGAGCAATTAATTTTATTACAACTATCATTAACATAAAACCCCCAGCTATTACACAATACCAAACACCACTATTTGTATGAGCAGTATTAGTCACAGCAGTACTTCTTTTACTCTCTCTCCCAGTGCTAGCAGCTGGTATTACCATGCTTCTAACTGACCGAAACCTAAATACAACCTTCTTCGATCCTGCCGGAGGAGGCGACCCAATCCTCTACCAGCACCTATTCTGATTTTTTGGGCACCCCGAAGTTTATATTCTAATTCTGCCCGGGTTCGGAATGATCTCCCATATCGTGGCATACTATGCGGGTAAACCTCAACCATTTGGATATATAGGAATAGTCTGAGCAATAATAGCAATCGGCCTACTAGGGTTTATTGTATGGGCCCATCATATGTTCACGGTCGGCATGGACGTGGACACACGTGCCTACTTTACCTCCGCCACAATAATTATTGCAATTCCAACCGGGGTAAAAGTGTTTAGCTGACTTGCCACCCTTCATGGAGGCCAAATTAAATGAGAGACACCACTACTCTGAGCCCTAGGCTTTATTTTCCTATTTACAGTTGGAGGCCTAACTGGGATTGTCCTAGCCAACTCATCAATTGACATTGTCCTCCATGATACCTATTATGTTGTAGCACACTTCCACTACGTTCTCTCTATGGGGGCGGTGTTCGCAATTATAGGAGGGTTTGTCCACTGATTTCCCCTGTTTACGGGATATACACTACATGACACTTGAACTAAAATTCACTTCGGGGTGATATTTATTGGCGTAAACCTCACCTTCTTTCCTCAGCACTTCCTAGGCCTGGCAGGAATACCCCGTCGATACTCAGACTATCCAGATGCCTACACCCTGTGAAACACAATCTCTTCTATTGGCTCCTTAGTTTCACTTACAGCCGTAATCCTATTCCTATTCATCTTGTGAGAAGCCTTTGCCTCAAAACGAGAAGTTAAGTGAGTAGAACTTACCCCTACAAATGTTGAGTGACTACATGGCTGCCCTCCTCCTTATCACACGTTTGAAGAGCCAGGATACGTTCGTGTACACCCGGCCTGAGACTATAAGTTTTGAGACACCAACCCCCTATACGGAAAAGTAGTCAAATACTCAAGAAAGGAAGGAATTGAACCCCCATAAGACGGTTTCAAGCCGACCACATAACCATTCTGTCACTCTCTTAATAAGATGCTAGTAATAAAAATTACACCGCCTTGTCAAGGCGGAGTTGTGGGTTAAAATCCCGCGCATCTTAATGGCACACCCCGCTCAACTAGGCTTCCAAGACGCAGCATCTCCCGTAATGGAGGAGCTCCTCCATTTTCACGACCACGCACTGATAATCGTATTCTTAATTAGCACACTTGTCCTTTATATTATTGTAGCCATGGTCACAACCACATTAACGGATGCCTACATTTTAGATTCTCAAGAAATTGAAATTGTCTGAACTGTCCTACCGGCAATTATTCTAATTCTAATCGCACTCCCGTCATTACGGATTCTTTACCTTATAGACGAAATCAACGACCCACATCTTACAATTAAAGCAATTGGACACCAATGGTATTGAAGCTATGAATATACGGATTACGAAGACCTAGGCTTTGACTCTTACATAATCCCCACTCAAGACTTAGCCCCAGGACAGTTCCGTTTATTGGAAACAGACCACCGTATGGTAGTTCCAATAGAATCCCCAGTCCGAGTGCTAGTAACAGCAGAAGACGTACTCCACTCATGAGCAGTTCCCGCTCTTGGCGTCAAAATAGACGCAGTGCCAGGACGGCTAAATCAAACAGCATTTATCGCAGCTCGACCCGGAGTCTACTATGGACAATGTTCCGAAATCTGTGGTGCAAACCACAGTTTTATACCTATCGTAGTTGAAGCAGTACCCCTGCACCACTTTGAAGCCTGATCATCTACAATACTCGAAGACGCCTCACTGAGAAGCTAAACAGGACCTAGCATTAGCCTTTTAAGCTAAAGATTGGTGATTCCGACCACCCTTAGTGACATGCCTCAATTAAATCCAGCCCCCTGATTTATTATCCTAGTGTTTTCATGATTAGTGTTCCTCCTTATTGCACCCACTAAAGTAATCTCACACACTTTTAATAATGACCCAAACCCTCATGCTGCAGAAAACACAATAACCAACCCTTGAAACTGACCGTGGCACTAAACTTCTTCGACCAATTTATAAGCCCCACACTTATAGGCATCCCCCTGATAGGGCTCGCCCTTCTTTTACCCTGAATCCTGTACCCAACATGCACCCCTCGCTGACTAAACAACCGCCTACTAACCCTACAAGCATGATTTGTCGGCCTGTTCACACAACAAATTTTCACGCCTCTAAACCCAAACGGGCATAAATGGGCAGCACTGCTCGCATCCTTAATACTCTTTCTCATCACCATGAATCTTCTAGGCCTCCTTCCCTATACATTCACCCCTACGACCCAACTCTCTTTGAACATAGGCTTTGCAGTACCCCTATGATTAGCGACAGTTATTATTGGAATACGAAACCAACCAACAATCGCCCTAGGGCACTTGCTGCCAGAAGGAACCCCCGTCCCACTAATCCCAGTACTAATTATCATCGAAACAATTAGCCTATTTATCCGCCCGCTTGCCCTAGGAGTGCGACTCACAGCAAATTTAACAGCAGGCCACCTTTTAATTCAGCTTATCGCCACTGCCGTCTTCGTACTTCTTCCACTTATGCCAACCGTAGCTGTTCTCACGGCTTCAGTTCTTTTCCTGCTCACCCTTCTCGAGGTAGCTGTTGCTATAATTCAAGCCTACGTATTCGTCCTACTCCTAAGCCTCTACCTACAAGAAAACGTATAATGGCACACCAAGCACACGCATACCACATAGTTGACCCAAGCCCATGGCCACTAACAGGGGCAGTTGCTGCCCTGCTAGTTACTTCTGGAACCGCCATATGGTTCCACTTTCAATCTATAACCCTTGTTACACTAGGAATAGTGCTGATATTACTTACAATATATCAATGATGACGAGACATTGTCCGAGAAGGAACCTTCCAAGGACATCATACACCTCCCGTACAAAAAGGCTTGCGATACGGAATGATCCTCTTCATCACCTCAGAGGTTTTCTTTTTCTTAGGCTTCTTTTGAGCATTCTACCACTCTAGCCTAGCCCCTACACCCGAGCTAGGAGCCTGCTGACCCCCAACAGGAATTACTACTCTAGACCCCTTCGAAGTTCCCTTACTCAACACCGCCGTTCTTCTAGCATCTGGCGTCACTGTCACATGAGCCCACCATAGCATCATGGAAGGAGAACGAAAACAAGCAATCCAATCCCTCACTCTTACTATTCTATTAGGCTTCTACTTCACTTTACTGCAGGCGATAGAATACTATGAAGCCCCTTTCACAATCGCTGATGGAGTTTACGGCTCAACATTCTTTGTAGCCACTGGCTTCCATGGCCTACACGTAATTATTGGCTCAACATTCCTGGCAGTATGCCTCCTGCGACAAGTAAAATACCACTTTACATCAGAACATCACTTTGGGTTTGAAGCCGCAGCATGATATTGACACTTCGTTGACGTAGTATGACTCTTCCTCTATATCTCAATCTACTGATGAGGCTCATAATCTTTCTAGTATCAAGCAAATACAAGTGACTTCCAATTACTTAATCCTGGTTAAAGCCCAGGGAAAGATAATGAATCCGATTATTTCAATCTTAATGATTACTACAACCCTTTCATGCGTGCTAATCTTCGTATCATTCTGACTCCCACAAATAAACCCAGACTCAGAAAAACTTTCCCCTTACGAGTGCGGATTTGATCCCTTAGGCTCCGCCCGCCTACCTTTCTCAATACGATTTTTCCTAGTAGCCATTCTCTTTTTACTCTTTGACTTGGAAATTGCCCTTCTACTTCCTCTACCATGAGGAAACCAACTAATAACCACTACTCAAACCCTATTTTGAGCAACGCTAATTATTCTTCTACTAACTGTTGGACTTGCTTACGAGTGAGCCCAAGGAGGCCTAGAATGAGCTGAATAGACGATTAGTCTAAAGAAAGACCGCTGATTTCGGCTCAGCAAAACCTGGTTCAAATCCATGATCGTCTTATGACCCCAACTCACTTCACATTTACCCTCGCATTCACTCTTGGACTGTCTGGGCTTGCTTTCCACCGAAAGCACCTTTTATCCGCCCTTCTCTGTTTAGAAGCTATAATACTCTCCCTCTACGTAGGACTAGCGCTCTGATCAATCCAAATGAACTCGAGCGTCTTCTCATCAACTCCAATAATACTACTAGCATTCTCTGCCTGCGAAGCTAGCGCAGGGTTGGCCCTACTAGTAGCTACCTCCCGTACCCATGGAACAGACCACTTAAAAGCCCTAAGCCTGTTACAATGCTAAAAATTCTAATCCCAACAATCATAATAATCCCCACAACATGATGAGTAGGCAAAAAATGGCTCTGAACCACTGCTTCATCTCAAAGCCTAATAATCGCGATCATCAGCCTAAGCTGAATGAAATGAGAAGCAGAAACAGGATGATGCACATCCAACCCTTACATTGCCACTGACCCCCTATCCACCCCCCTCCTCGTTCTTTCTTGCTGATTACTTCCACTAATACTTATCGCAAGCCAGAACCATGCATCAACAGAGCCCGCAAGCCGCCAACGAACATTTATTATGTTACTAGTCACCCTGCAGACCTTCCTAATCCTAGCCTTTAGCTCAACAGAAATTATGATATTTTACATCATATTCGAAGCCACACTCATCCCGACTCTTATTATTATTACACGCTGAGGAAACCAGGCAGAACGCCTAAACGCAGGCACATACTTTCTATTTTACACCCTAGCAGGCTCGCTTCCCCTCCTAGTTGCACTACTTATCCTACAGAAAGACCTAGGAAGCCTATCCATACTCATCATTCAACACACAGATACATACACAATTTCATGAAGCACTAAAATCTGATGGGCTGGCTGCCTAATGGCTTTCTTGGTTAAAATACCCCTCTATGGAGTACACCTGTGACTTCCTAAGGCCCACGTCGAGGCACCAATCGCTGGCTCAATAGTGCTCGCCGCAGTCCTACTAAAGCTGGGCGGCTACGGAATAATGCGAATCATAATGATCCTTACCCCTCTCACCAAAGAGCTTGCCTATCCCTTTATTATCCTCGCCCTCTGAGGCATCATTATAACTGGCTCAATTTGTATACGACAGACAGACTTAAAATCTATAATTGCCTACTCTTCAGTTAGCCATATAGGTCTGGTAGCCGCTGGGATCTTAATCCAAACGCCATGAGGCTTTACTGGGGCAATTATCCTAATAATTGCACACGGCCTCGTTTCTTCAGCACTCTTCTGTATGGCAAACACTAACTACGAACGAACACACAGCCGCACCCTCCTCCTCGCACGAGGCCTACAAATACTCCTCCCTCTCATAGCCACCTGATGATTTATTACCTCACTAGCAAACCTAGCCCTCCCCCCACTTCCTAATCTAATAGGAGAACTAATAATTATCACCTCAATATTTAATTGATCTTATTTCACAATCATTTTAACAGGGCTGGGAACTTTAATCACAGCCGGGTATTCACTCTACATGTTCTTAATGACCCAACGGGGTCCTACTCCAAACCATATTATTGGCCTAGAACCCTCACACACTCGAGAACACCTATTAATCACCCTCCACCTAGCACCACTAATTCTCCTAATAGCGAAACCCGAACTTATGTGAGGGTGATGTATATGTAAACATAGTTTAAACAAAATTCTAGATTGTGATTCTAGAGATAGAAGATAGAACCTTCTTGTTAACCAAGGGAGAATGTGGTCTTGGGAGAGTGCTAATTTTTCCAAGCCATGGTTAAACTCCATGGGTCCCTTGGCCCCTAAAGGATAATAGTTCATCCGTTGGTCTTAGGAACCAAAAACTCTTGGTGCAACTCCAAGTAGCGGCTATGCACCCCACAACCCTAATATTTAACTCAACACTCCTTCTTGTATTAATTGTGCTAGCGTACCCAATTATTACAACACTAAACCCCACGCCCTCCAAAAAAACATGAGCCCTAACCCAAGTAAAAATAGCAGTCCAAATAGCCTTCTTCATCAGCCTCCTCCCCCTATGTGTCTTCTTAGACCAAGGAATAGAAGCAATCACAACAAACTGGTCTTGAATTAACACAATAACCTTCGACCTCAATACAAGCTTCAAATTCGACCAATTCTCTATCATTTTTACCCCAATTGCACTATATGTCACCTGGTCAATCTTAGAATTTGCCTCCTGATACATATCAGCGGACCCAAATATAAACCGCTTTTTTAAATACCTACTAGTATTTCTCATTGCTATAATCACTCTTGTTACAGCTAACAACATATTCCAACTCTTTGTTGGATGAGAAGGGGTCGGCATCATATCATTTCTTCTAATCGGGTGATGATATGGACGAGCAGACGCCAACACGGCAGCTCTACAAGCCGTTATCTACAACCGTGTAGGAGACATTGGTCTTATTATAACCATAGCATGGCTAGCAATAAACACAAATAGCTGAGAAATACAACAAATTTTCATTACAACCCAAAACATAGATCTTACCCTCCCCCTTATGGGCCTCATCCTCGCCGCCACTGGAAAGTCTGCTCAATTTGGACTCCACCCATGATTGCCAGCTGCAATGGAAGGTCCAACACCAGTATCTGCCCTACTACACTCTAGCACAATAGTCGTAGCCGGCATTTTCCTCTTAATTCGACTCCACCCCATTATACAAAACAACCAAACAGCACTTACAACCTGTCTTTGCCTTGGAGCACTAACAACACTCTTTACAGCAGTCTGTGCTCTGACCCAAAACGATATTAAAAAAATCGTAGCCTTCTCAACATCCAGCCAGCTTGGCCTAATAATAGTAACCATCGGACTAAACCAACCTCAACTAGCATTCCTACATATTTGCACGCACGCCTTCTTTAAAGCAATACTATTCCTGTGCTCGGGGTCTGTAATTCACAGCCTAAACGACGAGCAAGACATTCGAAAGATGGGGGGCCTTCACAAAACAATACCCTTTACATCATCATGTATAACCATTGGAAGCCTTGCCTTAACAGGAACTCCGTTCCTAGCAGGATTTTTTTCAAAAGATGCAATCATCGAAGCCTTAAACACATCACTCCTAAACGCCTGAGCCCTGACCTTAACCCTCCTAGCCACCTCTTTTACAGCAGTTTATAGCTTCCGAATTATCTTTTTTTCGCATCAATAGGACAACCCCGGTTCTTGCCTTTATCCCCAATTAATGAAAACGACCCCACACTATTAAACCCTATTAAACGACTCGCCTGAGGAAGCATTGTTGCTGGACTCATCATCACATCAAACTTTATACCCACCAAAACTCAAATTATAACCATACCCCCTCTGCTCAAACTAACCGCCCTCATCGTTACTATTACGGGCCTCGTTACCGCCATAGAACTTGCCAGCCTGACAAATAAACAACTAAAAACTACCCCCAATATTAACCCCCATAACTTCTCAAATATGCTGGGCTACTACTCACCAATCATCCACCGAGCCCTACCAAAACTAATACTAATACTAGGACAAACCGCCGCTACCCAGTTAGTAGACCAAACCTGACTTGAAAAAGCAGGCCCCAAAGGAACAGCAGCAATTCAAATTCCTATAATCAAGACAATCAACGACCCCCAGCAAGGACTTATCAAAACCTACTTAGGCATCC